GGAGCCACACCCCAGCCACCACCAATGACTGCTTCCCCCGCCCTCTTCCAGTTGCAGCAGGGGCTGAGCTGGCCAGGGCCATGCTGGTGGTGCTGGGACACACGACATCCCGGTTCGCTGACCGACTGGGGCCCAGACGTACCAGCCACAGATGAGCAGGAGGAGCCGATGCCTTGCAGGGACCTGGCGACGAGCAGGAGGGCGTAGCTGCTGGAGAAGGCGAACACTGCGGGAGAGCGAGACCTGAGTCTGACCCCGCCACCTGTCCACGCCAGGGGCCAGTCCTCCACGTGACCACGTGCCTCCCACCCCAGGTTGTCTTCCCAATTGCTGGCCGTCAGCGCCCGCCTGTGACCCCCATTCCAAGGCAACCATCAGACACTTACTAATGGTGGAGACGAACATGATGCAGAACCCCGCGAACATCGGGATCGGGTAGCCGATTCTGCAAGACACAAGCAAGAGAATCTCTTGCGCATCGCAGGCTTCAGGCTGAAGCCCCCCAGCCCTTGGGCTCAGGCCGTTCCGAATGGAAATTTTTCTGGCATGAGCATGAAGACCGTGTGGCAAGTACCCCGGAAAATGGCCGGCACCCTCAGCCCGCATTCCATCATTTCTTCTCACCGTTCCTTTAATAAGAGCCGTGTCTAGACTCTCCCCAAAGGGACAACTGCACTCAAGTAACCCCAGTAAAAGGTCACCAGGTGACACAGTGGACGGCAGAAACAAGGTCTCTGAGGGGCGGCAGCAGGGGGGCTTCCAGCCTGCCTTCACGTCCACCCAGGAGCGGCCACTCTCCACACACCGGTCTCGCTTTCTGTGCACAAGCCCAACAGCCGAGTGGCCCTGAGAAGGCACCATCTGTCCACGGCTCTGCCACCAGGCCGACCAGCGGGGAGAGGGTGTTGGTGAGGGAGAGCCCTGGCTGGACCCCACCTTGCCACTTAACCCAGGCAAGTCTCCCCCAGACCCTCAGAGAGCCACCTCCACCTGCCAGCACGGGGTGGGCATAGATGAGACGTGGCTGGTACAGAGCTCCCAGGAGACCTGGCACAGGGGCTGGGCGTGCCCTTCCCCAGCCTCCCCCTTCTTTCTACTGTCTGTGGACTAAGTGGACAGGTTGGTCGCTGAATAGGGGGCCATGAGGGTGGGTGGTTTCCTGCACCCTGGCCCCGTGAGAGGCCCCACGCTAAGCCTGTGCCCTCCAGGAGGTCTCTGTGAGCCCAGGGCATCGTGAGTGCCCAGGTCTTGTCCCTTGAATCCTGGACCCTCAGGAGCCTGGGAGTAAGCAAATGGGTCCACGAAGGCAGCAGGACACCGGAGCTGGAGGGTGGCGCTTGGCCTGAGGCTCTTCTGTTCAGGCTTGCCTGCGGTTGTCATGGCAACGCCCCCGCTTAAAAACAGTCGGTGCAGTAGCTTGAAAAGGACAGTCAACCACCTCCCCATTTTACAGATGAGGAAACTGAGGCACAAAAACGTGACCTTCCTATGTGCTAGGGCTAATTTCACCTACGGTTAATCAACCTTTCTGTCCAGGTTAGTGCTTGTCCCTGCAAATTATTTATTTATTTATTTATTTATGCATACAGACTGGGGTGTAGGCCAGAGGTGCAGGGGTGGTGAGAGGAGTCACAGAGACAGAGTGGGGAGCAGAACAGGCTGACTACGAAGTACACTGCTGAGGGGAGCAGCGGGCGGGTCAGGGGAGGTCTGCTGCGCCCTGTGGTCACCTCCAGGGGCGGGGATAGAACTCATGCGGAAGTGGCTTTAGCTTCTCAGTGCTGTGCTGTAACCGGCTGCGCCACCAGGGAGGGCCCTGTCCCTGCAAATTTTACCAGCCTGCCAGGGAGTCACAGGGCGCACGTGGCTTCAACCAGAACCTTTCTGAAAGTTCTCCCGGTTATGCTCTTTTTTTTTTTTTTAACTGCTTCATGTGCATTCAAAACACAAACACTAAAGATGCAAGCAGCATCTTAATCACAGACTCCCAGGCGGACCCCTTCCAATAAACCCGTGCAAAGATTCACCCCTGGGACTGGGAGGAGGTTGCAATTCACAGAGGGTCCTGAAGCCAGTTGGGTGAACTGAGAAAGACACTGGCCATGCTCTGTGGCCACGCCCCGGGGGCTGCCTCTCTGTGTTCCTTATTCACGTAGACACAAGAGGTCCATTAGCTGCATGGTCCTGCACAGGCCAGACGTGCTGAACAAGGAGCCTCCTGAGGCTGGAGGGGCCTCATTTTTCTCAGCAAATTTTGCAGATGGAGACGAACCAGCTCACCCAGGGGTGCGGAACAAACTGAGAACACTGAGCAGCCTGCACTCATTGCTTCCTTCTCCTCGGACACAAGTGCCTGACTTTTCCACAGAGGCCCAGCCCTGACCTGGTGCTCAATGGAGCATGCACCCCCGCCCCGGCTCTGCCCCGACCTCCACCCCAGAAGGAGGGTGGCCCACCAGGGTCACGGAGCGGTGGGCAGGGCGCCAGCATCCTGTTCTCCCTGTAATGTCGCCTACGTGGATGGAAACCCAACTGACATCAGTCATAGATATCAAAGACGGCTCTGTCTCGGCTGGTGCGTCTCAGTGAGGTTTTGCCCAGTAGATCTAGATCTGATGTGGCAAGCTGTTAACGGAATATCCATCACCACGACCTGTGAATCATCCCAGCCCATGGTCATCCCCCGTGATAGAGCCGTGGGGAGCCATTAATTCATCTGGAATAAGAGTCAAAGTCATATACCGAATTCCTAGGAAAACGTAGAAAGCAGAGAAGCCCCATTCGGCCCTGAATCTTCACCGACATCACATGCTTTCTCGAATGCTAACAGCTAGTTTACCTTTGGCTTCCAGACAGATGCAAGCTCCATTCACAGGTGCACTAAGACTGGGTCCTCTGTGCCAGGAGCACTGACGAAAGTGAGGACATAGAGGGAGAACCAACCCCCTTGGGGTACAAACTACCAGCAGACGAGACAAGAGGGGACGTCCCTCTTTTTCATGATCTCAATACACTCTTAAAAGGTGGCATGGTGGGCCCTCCCTGGTGGCGCAGCGGGTTAAAGCACTGCACTGAGAATCTAAAGGCACTTCCGCATGAGTTCGATTCCTGCCTGCCCTGGAGGTGACCACATGGTGCGGCAGACCTCTCCTGACCCACCCGCTACTCCCCTCAGCAGTGTACTTCGTTGATCAGCTGTTCTGCTCCCCAATCTGTCTCTGGTGAAGGCTCTCACCGCCCCTCAGCCTCTGGCCTGTACCCCAGTTCTGTATGTACAAATAAATAAATCTTTAAAAAAAAAAAGTGGCATGGTGAGTCTCAGTCAACAGAAAACTGCACACACACTAGGGTCCCCACGTCTCCCCCATTCCCTGGTGCTCAGTGGGGCTCCACGCCCATGAGGCATGCCCAGTCCCACTGCCAGCTCCTTCTGTTCTAGAAGCCAAGCTCCTCACAACAGGTCTGGCCTGCTAAGGACGTCAAGAACGGGAGGACCCTTCGCAGAACAGCTGGTTTCCCTGTCCACAGAGACACTGAAAAGGTCACTGCTTATTCCTGCAAAGCCTACTTGAGACCCACTGGCAGAAGCTGCAGGAAAAAAAAAAACCGTCACAGTAGATTTCGTAGAGATTTCATGCCCTCTGGCTTCCTCCTGGCTGTTCAGATGTTAGCTAAGATTCGTGAGGCAAAAATAACTGGCTTTCAAATATACGAGGTAACTATGGAAATAAATTAAGCCACCGATGCTGCTTGAGGAAAAGCAGAGCACTGAGACCATGACAAGAGGAGGATGACACCCCCCCCGCCCCCCCCC